GCTCAGGGCCGTGTGCGGGGGCCATCCTGAGACCCTGGCCTACGCTTGCCGTTTGCCACCCCAGCCCAGCCCAGCCCAGCCCAGCTGTCCGGCCCCAGGCGGCGTGCACACCTGACCCTCTCTCAGGGCCCGCAAGGCTGCCCCTCCCCAGGCTCCGGTCACACGGCTCGGCCTGTATCCCCCAGTCTGTGCCCCTGCTGGGTCTCGGCGTGTCTGCAGCGCCTGTAGCCTCCTTCCAAACTCAATGTTTAAAAGTTGGTTTACTTTTAACTGGAGGACGATTGCCTTACAGTACTGTGTCGGTGTCTGCCATGCGTCAAGGTGAATCAGCGTGGGCATGCATCTGTCCCCTCCCTCTTGACCCCCCTCCCCCTCCCCCCAGCCCACCCCTCTAGGTTGTCCCAGGGCGCCAGGCTTGAGCCCCCCGCAGCACACGGCGAGTTCCCACTGCCTGTTTCACACGCGGTGATGGACGTGTTCCCGAGCTACTCCGTCCGTCCGTCCCACCCTCTCGTCCTCCTCTGCGTCCACACGCCCGTCCTCCACGTCTGCATCTCCACTGCTGCCCTGAGCACAGGCTCATCAGCACCATCTTTCTGGACCCCAAGTACACGCGTTAGTACACAATAGTTGTTTTTCTCCTTCTGGCTTATTTCACTCTGTATAACAGGCTCTCAGTTCATCCACTTCATTAGAACAAACTCAATGCATTTCTTTTTATGGCGGAGTAATATTCCATTGTGTATGTAGACTACAGTTTCTTCATCCATTCATCTGTTGATGGACAGGTAGGCTGCTTCCATGTCCTAGCTGTTGTCAGTAGCGTTGCAACGGACACTGGGGTACATGTGTCTTTTTCAGCTATGGTTTCCTCAGGATATATGCCCAGTAGTGGGACTGTTGGGTCATATGGTAGTTTTATCCCTCATTTTAAAGGAATTTCCATACTATTCTCCATAGTGGCTGTATCAATGTACATTCCTGCCGACAATGCAAGAGAGTTCCCTTTCTCCACACTCTCTCCAGCATTTATTGTTTATGGATGTTTTGACCTGGTGTGAAGTGATATATCATCATAGGTTTGATTTTCATTTCTCTAATAATGAGTGATGTTGAGCCTCTTTTTGTGTGTTTATTAGCCATTTGTATGTCTTCTTTGCAGAAATGTCTGTTTAGGTCTTCTGTCCACTTTTTGACTGGGCTGTTTGTTTTTCTGGTATTGAGCTGCATGAGCTGCTTGTATATTTTGGAGATTAATCCTTTGTCAGTTGTTTAATTTGCTATTATTTTCTCCCATTCTGAGGGTTTCTTTTCACCTCGGTTATAGTTTCCTTTGCTGTACAAAACTTTAATGAGGTCCCACGTGTTTATTTTTGTCTTTATTTCCATTATTTTAGGAGGTGGGTCAGAGAGGATCTTGCTGTGATTTTATGTCAAGGAGTGTACTGCCTACATTTCCCTCTAAGAGCTTTGCAGTTTCTGGCCTTACATTTTGAGTTTATTTTTGCTTGTGCTGTTAGGAGGTGTTCTAGTTTCATTCTTTCACCTGTAGCTGTCTAGTTTCAAGCTCCACTTTTACCCCTTAATTTAACTGGCACTTCTTGAGTCCTGGTGGGCCCAGCCCTGTGCCAGGCGCTCCTGGGCTCTAGCTTCCCTGGGGACCTCGAAGTCCCAGCACACAGCCTTTTCCAGGGCAGGCGGCAGGGCACAGCGCCTGACCCTGCCCAGGAGGGGGCTGCCTGCCAAAACGGTCGTGAGTGGGGAGGGGGCTGTGGCTGCTGGCGACTCAGGGCTCCGCTAAGGTGCAAGATCCAGCTGTCAGACGCGGGGTCAGCCTGGTTGGAGACAGCACGGCTGAGAGGGGAAGGCCTGGGCAGTGGGGGCCAGAGCTGCTGAGGCCGCAGGACAGCGGGGTGTGGAGAGCTTACCCTGGCTCCAACGGGGACCTGGCGGGTGAGGCTGGATTCAGGAGGGGAGAGGAAGTCACTCTGAGGGGCACATGAGTCGGGCATGTGGGGTGTAATGAGGAGGTAGACCCCAGAAGCAGGCACCTCCTGGACCAGTTGTCTTTAGTAAGTGCCTACTGTGTGCATGACCAGTCCTAGACCTTACACGTCTTACCGTCATCAGCCCCTCCCCCACGCCCCTTTGAGAGGCACTCTGTTCCCACTGCCCCGCCTGGGGAGGGGGCAAGCAGCTCAGGCCAGCCCCCACCCAAGACTGGAGGACCTCTGGGGGCGGACGCTGGCCTCAGAGACTGGACCTCCAGGTGCCACCTCTTCCACCCCGCTCCGGGGGGCACCGGTGGGGGAGGGGCACGGGCAGAGGAGGTGGGCGTCCCAGGAGGCAGGCCGGAGCGGCCCCCCGGGCCCCCACACCCTGTCCCTCCAGCAGATGCGCTCAGCACCCATCGGGCACCGAGGATCCCAACAAGGAAGCCCAACTGGGAGACAAAGGCCGGACGCAGGGGACAAATGCTCACGGACATTGTCAGCGGGAGCGGCCGGGCAGCCGGGCGAGGCCTACAAAGGGGCGGGGGCGGGGCTGGGAAGGGGTCTGGGCTGCACATGCCACCGTTGCCCGGGCGACGGCCCTCTCCGGGAGAGGTCCGCCGGGCCATTGTCCGGGGCACACAGGACGTGTCATCCACCAGATGGCCGAGTGCTGTGTGAGTCAGTTATCGGCCGAGTGAAGGAATGCAGCCCCATGGCCAGCCGGGGCGCCATCTGCTCCCTCAGACTGCGGGCACCGGCGGGCACTGAGCGCCGGCCGGCCGGCCCAGCCTCCGCCGCAGCTTTAATTAGCTAATTCCATAATTGGGCTTTATTTCAGGTAAATTGCATTTCACACCCGAGAGGGCTGCAATGGCCCGTCCAGGAGAGAAGCACTCGGGCACTGTGTGTGCAGTCGATATACGCCGAACAAAGCCGGGCTGGGTGCAGGGGCCGCGCCCGGCCCAGATGGGCGGCCCGAGCGAGCGCCCCTCAGGCCGGGGGCCGTGCCCGGCGGCAGGCGGGGCGGGGGCTCCGTGGAGGGCCTGCTCTCCCGCCAGCCGCCTCCTGGGGTTTCCACAAATATTTACTCAACAAGGAAACAACAGCTTTTGCCTTTCCAGTAATTGTTGCTCTCACCCCTCCCCCCAGGGGCGAGGGGTAGGGAGGCCCCGGCCTTCACGGCCTCTTCTCCCCTCCCCCGCACCGACCAGTGCCCGGTGGGCTAGACGGTTCCCCCGGTGGGAGCCAGGGCCGGACCCTGAGGGAGCCCCTGGGGCTCTGCAAAGTGGGACCCAGGCCCCTCCCCTCCCACCGGGCCCCAGCCGCCATTCGGCGAGGACCAGCAGGTCAGCATCCACCTGGGCACCTGCCTCCCAGGGCTGTCAGCCATGAGGGCTCCAGGCAGGCCCAGGGCGAAAGGAGCAGGCCCCAGAGGAGTGAGGGGCCCAGACACCCATGGACAGCAGTGGGAGGTGGGCAGGAATTAGGAATTAAGCCTCGAGGCCTGAGAAGTGTGTGTGGGGTACATGCCCTGAAAACAGGGTGCCCAAGCTGCTTGTCGGGGGGGCCATGACACCAGCTGATCACCACTTCCCCCTTGAAGCGTCACAAGTCTGGGGAGGGGACTGGTCTTGTGAGGTGCTATCAGGGAGAGCTTCCTGCAGGAGTGGGTTTTGAGCCTGGCTGGAGACCAAGGAAATGGTTTCAACTGATGGACGGGGGACGGGAAGAAGTCTCCCAGAAAAGGCACCAGCAGGAGCTAAGCTCAGAGGCGGGCGGGGTCTGACCTGGGTGGGCGGGGACAGGAGCAGCCTGGCCTCAAGGTGCTCCTGAGTCCCAGACCAGGCCAGTGGGTTGGGGCTTCCGGCCCCCTCCCCTCACCGGGGTGGGTGCGGATGGGGTGAGGGTTGCTGGGGTGTTGAGGGGTGGGCGGCAGCTCTGTGGGAGGACAGGTTGTCCCAGAGATGGGTGCTTGCTCCCCCAGGAGTGGAGGCGAGAACCGGGCAAATTAAATTTTGTGATTCCATGTTTATTAGGAAAAACCTGCATGATTAAGAATCAAAATCACACCGTGAAATTCATTAAAGCACAGATTCCAAATCACCACAAGGTATTCTGATTTTGTGGGGCGGAGCACCCAGGAGGACACATGTCTTGTTAGAGATGGTGAGGCCCATCTGCTCCCCGCAGTCAGGGGGGATGACCGTCTGTCCAGCGGCTCGGACCAGGAGGGACCTGGAGGCGGGCCTGCACATGAAGCGGGCTCGGGGCCCCTCCTCTTCCCTCCGGAATGGGCAGGAGAAGCTGCCAGTCCAGAGTGGGGGCCTGAGCTCCCCCATCCTGCTGCTGGACGGTGCCCCCCCAGTGAAGAGCTCTGGGCAGTGGTGGGCCTGTCCCTCCCATTGGAAGCTGTGGCCTCAGGAGCTGATCCCCCAGCTCCTGCCAGGGTCAGCATCTCGGGCATGAGGGAGCCAGGCCCGCTCCAGGGTCCTGGGATGGGCTCTTGGGCCACGATCGGGCCTCGACTGTGGGCCTCCTTTGTTCGGCTGGGCTGGGCCTGCCCTGCCCTGCCCTGCCTGCCGCCTCCCAGGGTCCCCCTGGGTCCTGGATCTGAGACTGGGGGAGGGTCCTCACAGACCCTGTCCAGGCTGTCCCCCATCTGCCCGCAGGAAGCCCCCGGGGCCGGCATACAGCTCTGCCGCCTCCTGCCGTACACGGGACAGACCGAGCGCCTGGCCTGACCCCGGCCTTGTCCTGAGTGTCACGCCAGCGATGTGGCCCCCCCCCAACCCAGCCAAAGTCTAGTACCCGCCGGCTGAGAAGGGGTGGTCTTGGCGAGCCCCCAGCCTAGGCCAGGGCACCACGTGGCCCACCGGGTGTCTGGGGCCTGGTGGAGTGGGACCGCGCCTTTGAGAGGTGGCCGAGGCCCGGTGGAGCCGTGCGGGACAGGGGGCGGGGTGGGCCTCCCCCGGGCCTCCCCCCTTAGGCCTGGGCCCTGCGCCCCCATCACGAGCCCTCGTCGGGCCCCCTGTGGGGCACGGTCAGCTGTTCATAGGTGGGCAGCGCGTTGCTGGGCAGGAAGAGCTCGGGGTTGATGGAGCCGCCGCTCGGGGGCTGGACTGCCTGGGCCCCGGCCGTGCTGGGGGGCCGGCCCCCAGGGGGGCCTCCATGGTGCAGCGCGAGCAGCTGATGCAGCATGTCTGTGATGACCACCAGCCTCTGGTCCAGCTGAGTCACCTGCGGGGACAGGAGCAGAGGTGAGCCGGGCGGTGGGGTGGCCTTGGGGCCGCGGCTCCTAGAGGGCTGGGGGCGGGGGCGGGCCTGTTTGTGGAACGCGCACGTGCGTGTCTGTGGGCGTCTGTGACCCCTGTGCGTGTTGGTGCATGTGCACACACGTGCCTGGAGGGGTCCTGCTTAGCAGCCCTCGCCTGAGACCCGGGGGCCGAGCGGCTCTCTCTGCGGAAGGGCTCCCAGTCACAGGGTGGGGCTCCTCCTCCACCCACTCCCCCGTGTCCCCCAACAGGGCTCGTGCCCCAAGTTGTCCCATCCCCGACTCACGAGAGGACTCACTAGTCCCTGGAAAACCCAGACCCTGTCTGTGTCAATGCCCAGGAGTCAGCCAGGCCCACGTGCCCAGCGTGCTTCTACCAAAGCCTTTCCTGCATTGAACACGGGGTTGCCCAGCCCATGAGGTGGGGCTGCCCCGTGAAACTGGAGGGGAGCTGGAGGCAGGCTGGACCCAGGGCTGCAGGTCCTTAGCAGGGATGGCTGGATGGCCAGGAGGGGACGGGGCTGAAGTGAGCCCGAGAAGAGGAGGCCAGGGCCCTCCAAGCAGGGGCGGGGGACAGGACACGACCCCGAGGGAGCCGGGCCATGGGGGCAGGCATGGCGTTCCCGGGGCCTGCAGCACCCTTGGGAGTGGTTCCCCTGGGGTCTCTGTCAGAAAACAACACCCACATTGGGGACCTGGAACCCTGGGGAGCCTCGGAATGGCAGAGCAGGTACAGGAGGCAGCCGGGTGGTCAGGGATGAGGGCCAGGCCCCAGGAGCACCGAGCAGCCCCGTGGGAGAGCACGTCGGTGTGAGAGCCGCGGCGGCTCAGCACGGGGCCGAGCACAGGCGGGCAGAGCCGGCTGGGGCCGGGCGTCCACCCAGACACACGCGGGATTCGAGATATGTGCGATGTGTGCCATCACGGCCAGACTCCCGGGCGCCCCTCTGGGCCCACTGCCCGCCGCAGCCTCCCCGCCGCAGGGCCGCACGGAGCTGGGTGCTGGCCGAGCGGGTTGGCCCTGGGAAGACGGTAGGGTGAAGAGGCCGTGGATCCTGTGTAGCCCAGTCCCGGGGGCCCGGGTCAGGTTTCCCGGGGCCGGGGGCAGACCACAGCCTCCCTCCCGTGGGGGACACTGAGTCAGGGGAGTGAGGGGGGCTGGCTGGGCAGGGATGAGAGGAGGGCTCTCTCCTGAGGCCCCAGGAGAAGGATCCAGGTTCCATGTAGGGAAGACCTGGGTGGGGTGGAAGGGTGCTCCATGAGGACCAAAGCAGACACTCCTGGGAGGAGGCCCAAGTGGGGGGTCCAAGCTGGGCTTAGAAGAAGTAAGTGCTCCTGGGAGAAGGGCCAGAGGGACCTATGGCGGAGACATGCCCACCATCACTTCCAAACCCTTCCCCTCTCACTGGCCCAAGACTGCTGGATGGCCCCCAGTCCCAAAGCTGCCCTAGGAGATCCGTCGGGGGGACCCTGGGTGCCTGGTAGCCTTGAAGGAGCCTTGCACACCGGCTGGTCCAGGCAAGACTTCATGTTGCTTCACTGTGCAGGCCCCGGCTTGGGTATTGATTGGTTTGGCCTCAATTAAAGCCCCAAATACATGACAGAAGAAAATCTGTGGTTTCATAAATTTTCACTTTATGGTGCTTGAACATCTGTCGAAGTCCCCAGAAAGGCAAGTGGGTGTGGAAGCCTCCACGGGGGTGTTCTCGGGAAAAGAGGAAATGGAAGGAGGGCTGAGATTCAGGAAGGGGTGGGGTCCTGGGCCTGGCTGGAGAAGGGGCCCGTCCCAGGGGGCTGACAGCGCAGGTGAGCTCGCCCTTAAGGCCTCCCGGGCCCTTCTGATGGTGCCCTTGGCCCTCGGGTGCCAAGCCCACCTCGGACAGTTGGGCTGCTGCTCACGGCAGGGGGAGCTTCAAGGGGCTCTCCTGGTGCCATGGTCCCACTAGGCAGACTGCTGGGGACTGGGGGGAGCTGGGATCTGGGCCAGAATCCAGAGCCGGCCCAAACCCTGGGCCTCCCTCCTTCTCCTACAGGAGAGGAGCAGGTCTGGGGAGGACTGTGAAATGTCATGGCCGGTGTGATGGGAGAGACAGTGGGAAAGTGGGGAAGCCGGCTGACCCACGCAGACCCTGCCAGACCCTCCCGGCCATCGCCCTGTCCCCCTGGCCCTCCAGCCGCCCTCTGGGTGCCCCTGGGTCTTCCTGTGCCCCTGTGGGGCCCTCCTGCCTGTCCGGCCCCCAGCCCTCTGGACACAGATCCTCTCCTTCACTCACCGGGTCCAGCTTCAGGCTGTGGTGACCAGCGGGTGGGCCGGGTCCCCTGCCCAGAACCAGGCCCCATCCTGGGGCTCCGTGGGGGAGCCTGCACCACCCAGGCCTGCCTGCTGCTCACCACTGGCTCCTGAGCCCACACTGCCCTGCCCAGTGGCTGATGCCCGAGCCCTGCGGTGTGGGGTGAGCCTGGCCAGGCTGGTCTGGGCAGCCACATCAGGTCCCACCCTAAGCCCTGGCTGAAGGGTCTCCTGCGTGGGCCCCAGTTTCTCAGCTGAGAAGCGGGGAATCCTGCTCCCCACTGGTGGGTTTTATTGAGGATGGAGCAGGACAGGCACGTAGGAGCCTGTGCCCGCAGGCTCGGTGAGCCCGCTTTGCTTCTCCGGGGCTGAGCGCGTCCCAGAGAGATGGTCCTTGGTCACCTCCCCCTCTCCGCCCCTGACTCTGAGCAGAGAGCCTGTATCTCACTTGATATTTGATGGCCACTCTGCGAGCACATCAGAAAAGACCCCGATGCTGGGAAAGATGGAGGGCAGGAGGAGCAGGGGGCAGCAGAGGATGAGACGGTTGGATGGCATCACCGACTCCATGGACAGGAGTTTGAGCCAACTTCAGGAGATGGCAAGAGACAGGGAAGCCCAGCGGGCTGCAGTCCACAGGGTCGCAAAGCGTCGGACACGACTGAGCGACTGAACAGCAACTGTGAGAACGTCAGCCGGCTGGAGGGAGTGGCCTGAGCCGGACCCCAGCTGCAGAGTTCGCCGGTCCAGGCAGGTGCCCAGGGCAGGGGCCGTCACCTTCGGGGGAAGGCAGTGCCCACTCCGGGCATGGGGCAGCGTGCCCCGGGAACCACGCGGACACATCAGTTTGGGGGATCTTGAATCTCGTCGCTCTTTGCAATTTGATAGTGACTAAAAGGGCAAGGCCAACAAAAGCGCCCTTGTTCCCTGCCTCAACTCACCAAATTAATAACCATAAGACGACTCACGGCCCTCGGAGGAGAAAAAAAGCAATTAGAATAACAGCCAGTGCGAGAGCCCCGGGCGGCTGATGATCAAACCCAAGGCGACGGGATCCCTGTTTGATGTGGTTATGAATTTGTTTTCAAAAGAAAATCTTGAAAAAGAGTCTTTCAAGGGAAATTTTTGCAGAACCTGCTCGGCCTTGATCCCAGCTCTGGACCCGCCAGCGGTCCAGGCCAAAGATGGGCGGGAGACGGGGCCGCGACCGCCTGCGGCTCATGGGGAGGAGCCCCTGGTCCTGGGGGCAGCTCGGGGGGCCCCAGGGTCCCTGCGGGGACATCTGAAGGTGGGGTGGCGCTCCTCTTGGGACAGCCTGGGACCCTCTGAGGGATCACAGGGCAGAAGTTCTCTGGGCGCTTCCCTTGTCTGCACCCTCTCCTGGACTGACGGTCACTGATCAGTTCTCAGGGGGCGATGCTTAACATGCTTAACACCAGGCATTGAGCTGGATGCTCCCAGCTGGGCCACAGGGAGCCGGGGGCTCCAAGTAGGTGATGAGAGGCGGGAGCCTGGAGCCCTGCGAGCCCTGCGAACCCTGCCCAAGTGCAGGGACGGGCCTGGGGCCACGGCCGTGATGCTCAGGCCCACTCCATCCTCCTGCGGGCCTCCCAACATGGCTCTAAGCTCCCACTCCCCGCCCGCTTCACAGACTGCAGGGAGGGTGGGAGCGAAGAGCCGGGGGCAGGGGCACAGAGGGGCTGCTGCCGGCCTGGCTTCCTTCCCCCTTGCTCTCTGGCTGCAGGCCTGCACCACCCAGCCCTGCCCAGGTCACAAGCCCCTGCTCCCAGCTGCCCCTGAGCCCACAGGCTGAGGCCCCGAGGCCTTGAGCTCCTGGGCGTGGATGGAGGGACTGGGTAGGGCCCACCCCCAACCCACAGCTGGGGCAGGTCTGGAGGCCCACGGCAGGGGTGCTGAGCCCAAGTGAGGGACTGTCCAGCCAGGAAGGGAGCCCCAGGCTGGGCGGCTCAGAGCAGAAAACCACATGCTCTGTGCGGGACCCCAGTCACACCTCAAGGTCCCCTGGGTTGGCAGCTCCCCCCTGCCGCCCCTCGCAAGCATATAGTTTGTGAGAAGGCCCCAGCACGGGGCAGGACACGGGCTGTGTCGAGTGCTGCTTGGCGGACGAGGGGCCCGCATCTGCCCCCATTAAAGAGCCTGGCCGACAAGGGGCCCACGCCTGTCCCCGTTAAAGAGCCTGGCCGCAGCCTCGGACGTCAGGCCCCACTGGACGCGGGAAGGACTCACTCCGAGAGGGCGACCCTGACCCTCTGGGCCTAGCAGCTATAGAGCGGCTTTCAGGCGGTGGTCCCAGGCCACCCCCTGCCCAGGCCTTCTGGGTTCTCTGTCCCCATAGAATGCCCTTTCCTCCCTCACCCTGACCCTGGCCCTCACTCTGCAGACTGGTGAGGGAGGGGAGTGGGTGTCCCGCTGACCTACAACCTTTGCCCCCGTGCCCTTTGGTACATGCAGGTAATGCTGAGCACCCACGTCAAGGGCAGAGGGTATCGCTGAGACAGCACCAAGGGGAGGGGCACTGGCTGCGTTCCTGGTGTCCTCCGGCCCTTCCCCACTGACCAGGACGGGAGGAGGCCACCCTGCTGTGACCACTGTGGTCTGCTGTCCTCTGAGCCTGGGGGCACCGGCTCAGGCCAGGGACACACCCAAGACCCGCAC